TTTCCGTTCGATCTATCATAGAGTTCATACTAGAATAACACCTTAAGACACAAATCAACCAAAATCCTAATGTCACCTAGATACTCTAATGTCACCTCAAGTATCAGTGGGTATGATTATACGATATGCATCAAACAATCTCAGATTCATCTATTCAACCGACACATAGAACTTCAAAGAGTGCCCCAAAGTTTCTATCGGAGAGTCAAGATGAAAACGTGTGCCAACCCCTATGCATAAGTTCATGAGGTCACAGAACTCACAAGTTGATCACCAAAACATACATCAAGCCGATCACGTGATGTCCCATTGTCACCACAGATAAGCACATGCAAGACATACATCAAGTGTTCTCAAATCCTTAAAGACTCAATCCGATAAGATAACTTCGAAGGGAAAACTCAATCCATCACAAGAGAGTAGAGGGGGAGAAACATCATAAAATCCAACTATAATAGCAAAGCTCGCGATACATCAAGATCGTACCATCTCAAGAACACGAGAGAGAGAGATCAAACACATAGCTACTGGTACATACCCTCAGCCTCGAGGGAGAACTACTCCCTCCTTGTCATAGAGAGCGCCGGGATGATGAAGATGGCCATCGGAGAGGGATTCCCCCCTCCGGCAGGGTGCCGGAACGGGTCTAGATTGGTTTTCGATGGCTATGGAGGCTTCTGACGGTGGAACTCCGGATCTATTGTGTCCCCAGATGTTTTTAGGGTATATTGATATATATATAGGCGAAAGAAGTCGGTCAGGGGAGCCACGAGGGGCCCACGAGGGTGAGGGCGCGCCCATGGGGTAGGGCGCACCTCCCTGCCTCGTGGCTTCCTTGAAGCTTCCCTGACGTCTACTCCAAGTCTCCTGGATTTCTTCCTTTCCAAAAATAACTCTCCCGAAGGTTTCATTCCATTTGGACTCCGTTTGATATTCCTTTTCTTCGAAACACTGAAATAGGCAAGAAAACAACAATTTGGGCTGGGCCTCCGATTAATAGGTTAGTCCTAAAAATAATATAAAAATGTATAATAAAGCCCATAAACATCCAAAACAGATAATATAATAGCATGAATACTTCATAAATTATAGATACGTTGGAGACGTATCAGTTATCTCTGCATGTAAACAAAATGACTGATGAATGAAAAGTTCCTTTCCCGCAAAATAAAAAAAATATCAGCTGGGGACGCACCTCCAAAAAAAAGGGTTTCATTAGTTTTTTTTTTTGAGACAAGCTGTAGGCCGAAAGATCTCCCACGTGATCCGCGATCATGCAGAGGCCCAACTCCAACGGCCCAAGAATAAGGGAAACAAAAGGCAGTGAAGAATCCCTATTTGGCCGCCGTTCGTCCCGAAACTGCTGTCCTTGTCCTCGCTGTGCGCCGCCCCGCCCGCACGCGCTCAGGTGCACCGCCCCTCGAGTCGCCGGCGCCGGTCTCCGTTCCTTCCACTGCGCTGCCCTTTCTTCCATACCACCTCGAGTCCCTAGCCTAGCCGTCTGCACGCCATCAGAGACGTAGCCGCTGCCGGAAGCAGTGACTGGCCGCAGTCTTCGCGCCGTCTCGACGGCGACCGGCTGAGAGCCGACCTCCCCTAGCCCCCTTCATCGCCGTGGTCACCCACGCAACCACGTGCAGGCTCCCGGCGGCATCACCGTTTGCAACCAGTTCGGCAACACTGCCCGTCTGGTCCATCAGCGACGGCGGGGGGCTTGCTCTCCCTATTTTCCTCCGCCGACTTGCGGTTGTCAACGGCTCCGGCGCCGTGCTCTTGTCGTCCGGCTGCTGCCATTGCTCTGAACTTCTGAAGGTTGTTAAGATTTAAGAACCGATTCTGTGGTAGTTGTATTAGCTAGTTAGTAGTTGTTGTATTTAGTCCATGAATTGATTTCTGTTCTTATTTGTAGAAATGAATAGAAAGACTTTGCACAGTTGGTTTGCTAGTAATTCAAATGTCTTTCTGTTGTTCCCGAACCCAACACAGTATGGTCAAACATGTTGGTTCAAAACTATGGCTATTTTGCTAGAAAGATCCAGTAAATGCTACATGTATCCAGTAGTAATCTAGGATTTTTTTTAGCTTATTTGGATTATAGGATTATGAGATATTGAATCTTTTGCTAAACAGATCCAAATTTTAGTTTTTTTTTTGCAAATATTGCATATTCCCAGTAGTATTCTCGGAAAATTTGACCTTATTTGGACTAAAGGATTGAGAGAAACTGGCTTTTTTTCCTCACTGTTAACTTTGAGCCTGCCCTCAATTTTCACCCTGGATTCGCCACTGTGTGTGTGGTTGGTAATGTGGTTTGCTGAACCTATGCTGAATCACTCATGTAGCTATGGTTGAACTATCTGATCATTCAAAAAATAGCTGAACTACCTTGCATTTGATAGACCCTCTTATGATTTAACCCACTTTATTCATTTCATATAAGAGAACTCTCCGATTCAATGAAAGAACCCTGTCTATGTGAGTATGTGAATGCTGAAACTACTAAAATTTTCATGAATATTTCGATAAAATAAGCAAGTTATTTGTTTCTCGTTGCACAGCCTAAGGGGTTTTCATGTCCTGAGAAATATTTGTGACTACTGTATTTTCATTCAACGTGATTTCTATCCTGGAACAATGAACAATCATATTGACCTTGGTCTTGACATATGTATGTGTGTACATATATATTTTTTGCTTACATCGTAAAAATATAATGAAATAAATTCCCGAGTTCAATATTTGCTAATGACACAAAATAGTTTTGTTGTTTTTAATTTTGTAGAGTTAACTTTAGTTAAGCTCAGCGGCTCAATGCCTGATTTCCTGTTCGGTGGTTCACAGGTTCTTGGAGGATCTTAGGTTTCGTGAATATGGCATCTCATGCTGAAATGACAGGAAGCAATATGCTACGTCTTCAAAGCTTTCCTAGTAATATGGTATGCACCCAGTTGAATTATCAACTAAATATGCTTCTCTTTTTGGAATGTAATCATTCTCATGTTCTTCTCCTTTTGTACCAGGGAAAACAAAGGAGTAGTTTTATCTCCACAAGACACCTTCCCTTGAGAAGGCCACGAGTGGTTCGACATTGCCTGGACCTACGTCATCTTTGCCGTTTACCTAATCAAAGGGCTATTGTTCCAAATATCAGAACAATGCCTGCTCTCACTGCCGCAGTATCCAGGGGAGTTGATAGTCCATTGATAGAGGCATCTGTCAATGACATGGAATTAGTTTCAAGGATTATTCACTTTTATCGCAAACCACTTCTTCAAGAGAGTGAGGCCAAGGAGTTACTCAGGAAAGTGCAGGCAAAGGTTTCTTCTAATATTATTGATATAAAGACTGAGCAATGCTTCAATGTTGAGTTGGAGGATTCACTAAGTTCTGCGAAGCTTGCAACACTTAAGTGGCTCCTAGCAAAAACTTATGAACCTGACAACTTACAAACAGGGAGCCTTCTGGAGGAGGAGGTTTCTATGAGTCCTTATTCCTTCCTTGTTGAGGTCGGTCCCCGGATGACATTTTCGACAGCTTTCTCGACTAATGCTGTCTCAATTTGTAAAGCTCTATCTTTAATGGAAGTAACTCGCCTGGAGAGGTCTAGAAGATATCTTTTGTGCCTTCAGCCTGGTAGTGACCCACTTGATGAAAGCCAACTCAACAGCTTTGCTGCTCTGGTTCATGACAGGATGACAGAGTGTGTTTATCCTAGCAAGCTCACATCATTCCGGTCAGATGTAGTTCCAGAACCTGTCAGTGTTATACCAGTCATAGAAAAGGGAAGGGAAGCACTGGAGGAAATAAATCTTAAAATGGGGCTGGCTTTTGATGAACAAGATATCAAGTACTACACTCACCTCTTCAGAGATGACATCAAACGCAATCCAACTACCGTGGAACTTTTTGACATAGCGCAATCCAATAGTGAGCACAGCAGACATTGGTTTTTTAATGGAAAGCTTGAGATAGATGGAGAGACCATGCCAAGTACTTTGTTTCAGTTAGTAAAGAGTCCCTTAAAGGCTAACCCTAATAACTCTATTATTGGATTCAAGGACAACTCGAGCGCAATAAAAGGGACCCTTGTAAATCACCTACGTCCAGCACTACCAGGTTCCACTTCACCGTTATCCCTTATGATGCGTGAACTGGGCATTCTGTTCACAGCAGAAACCCATAATTTTCCATGTGCCGTGGCACCCTACCCAGGAGCTGAAACAGGTGCAGGTGGTCGTATAAGAGACACGCATGCCACTGGAAAAGGTTCATTTGTTGTTGCCTCAACTGCTGGTTATTGTGTTGGAAACCTTCAAATTGAAGAATCATACGCACCTTGGGAGGATTCATCCTTTTCATACCCATCAAACTTAGCTTCTCCATTGCAGATTCTTATTGATGCTAGCGACGGTGCTTCTGACTATGGGAACAAGTTTGGCGAGCCTTTAATTCAGGGATTTACAAGAAATTTTGGTTCTAGGTTGCCAAATGGGGAGCGCCGTGAATGGCTGAAGCCAATAATGTTCAGTGGAGCAATTGGGCAGATTGACCATGCACACATATCGAAAGGGGATCCAGAAATTGGCATGCTAGTTGTGAAGATTGGTGGTCCAGCATACAGAATTGGTATGGGTGGTGGTGCTGCCTCAAGTATGGTTAGCGGACAGAATGATGCAGAGCTCGATTTTAATGCAGTTCAACGGGGAGATGCTGAGATGGCACAGAAATTATATCGTGTGATCAGGGCTTGTGCAGAAATGGGGGAGAAGAATCCAATCATCAGCATTCATGATCAGGGAGCTGGAGGAAACTGCAATGTTGTGAAAGAAATAATCTATCCTAAGGGTGCTGAAATTGACATCCGCTCAATTGTTGTTGGTGATCACACATTGTCTGTGTTGGAGATCTGGGGTGCTGAATACCAGGAACAAGATGCATTATTGGTGAAGCCTGAGAGTAGAAACCTGTTGCAGTCACTTTGTGAGAGAGAAAGAGTTTCAATGGCTGTCCTTGGTGAAATTGATGGTAGTGGAAAAATTGTTTTGATTGACGGTGCTGCTGTGGAGCATGCGAAGTTGAGTGGCCTTCCGCCACCACTACCTGTTGTTGATCTTGAGCTTGAAAAGGTTTTAGGAGATATGCCTCAGAAGACCTTTGAATTCAAGCGCGTTTCTCGATCGAGTGAGCCCTTAGACATAGCACCCGAGGTTACACTGATGGATGTTCTTAAGCGAGTATTGAAGCTTCCCTCTGTATGTTCAAAGCGTTTCTTGACCACTAAGGTTGACAGGTGTGTGACAGGTCTTGTTGCACAACAGCAGACGGTTGGCCCTCTCCAACTTCCACTTGCTGATGTTGCTGTAATTGCACAGACTTACACAGATCTGACAGGTGGTGCTTGTGCCATTGGAGAACAACCGATAAAGGGTTTACTTAATCCCGAGGCCATGGCAAGGCTTGCTGTTGGGGAGGCATTGACCAATCTGGTTTGGGCTAAAGTTACATCTCTTGCTGACGTCAAAGCAAGCGGCAATTGGATGTATGCTGCAAAGATTGATGGAGAGGGAGCAGATATGTATGATGCTGCTGTCGCAATGGCTGACTGCATGATTCAACTTGGTATTGCAATTGATGGAGGAAAGGATAGTCTTTCTATGGCAGCTCAATGTGATGGCGAGCTAGTCAAAGCTCCAGGAAATCTTGTTATCAGTGCTTATGTGACATGTCCTGATATAACCTTGACTGTTACTCCAGATCTAAAGCTTGGGAAGGATGGGGTTCTGTTGCATGTTGACCTGGCTAAAGGAAAGCGATGACTTGGTTGTTCTGCTCTCGCACAAGCATTTGATCAAATTGGAAATGACTGCCCAGACATAGAAGATGTCCCTTACTTGAAAAAGGTCTTTGAGGTTGTTCAAGAATTGCTCAGTGAACGTCTGATTTCTGCCGGTCATGACATTAGTGATGGTGGGCTTATTGTCACTATTCTTGAGATGGCATTTGCTGGTAACTGTGGTGTTAACCTCAACATAGAATCAAAAGATAATGACCTTCTTCAAACACTTTTTGCGGAAGAGCTTGGTCTTGTAATTGAAGTGCATTTGGATGACCTTGATCTAGTGAAGCAAAAACTTAATGCAGCAGGGGTTTCTGCTGATGTGATAGGAGAAGTAACTGCAGCACCAGAAATAGAGCTACTTGTTGATGGTGAGGTGCGTTTGAAAGAAAGAACTTCAGACCTCAGAGATTTGTGGGAGGAAACAAGCTTTCAGCTTGAGGAGCTACAGCGGCTGAAATCTTGTGTCAAGCTTGAGAAAGAAGGCTTAAAAAGCCAAACATCCCCTTTATGGCATTTGTCTTTTACGCCCAAATTCACAGACGAGAAACTACTGTCTGCATCCTCGAAACCGAAGGTTGCCATCATTCGCGAAGAAGGGAGCAACAGTGATAGGGAAATGTCTGCTGCATTCCATGCTGCTGGTTTTGAACCGTGGGACACCACAATGTCGGATCTCTTGAACCAGAAGGCTGATCTAATGAAATTCCGTGGGATCGCATTTGTTGGTGGATTTAGCTATGCAGATGTTCTTGACTCAGCGAAAGGCTGGGCTGCATCTATCAGGTTCAACCAGCCCCTCATACAGCAGTTCCAGGAGTTCTACAATAGGCCAGACACATTCAGCCTTGGGGTGTGCAATGGGTGTCAGCTCATGGCTCTTCTTGGTTGGGTACCAGGACCCGATATTGGAGGCTCGCTTGGTGCAGGTGGAGACATGTCCCAGCCAAGGTTCACTCACAATGAATCTGGCCGTTTTGAATGTCGGTTTATCAGTGTGGCCATAGGGGTTTCTCCTTCTATAATGTTCAAAGGTATGGAAGGCTCTACACTGGGCATTTGGAGTGCTCATGGTGAAGGTAGAGCCTTCTTCCCAGATGAAAATGTCTTGTCTGATGTTGTGAAATCTAATCTGGCCCCTCTGAGATACTGCGATGATGCTAATAACGTCACAGAGGTCTATCCTTTCAACCCTAATGGCTCTCCGCTTGGTATTGCGGCCCTTTGCTCCCCTAATGGAAGGCACCTTGCGCTGATGCCACACCCGGAGCGTTCCTTTATGATGTGGCAATACCCATGGTATCCCAAGGAGTGGCAGGTTGAGAAGAGTGGTCCCAGTCCTTGGTTGCGCATGTTCCAGAATGCAAGAGAATGGTGTTCATAGATAAGGTAAATCATACTCCTGAAGCATTTCCACCATTTTTTATGGTTCCCTATAGTTAAAAGATAAATACTTTTGGTTCCCTATAGTTAGATCTCTGGCTGGTCCTTTAACTAGACACAGTCTGCTGCTCTCGTCTACATCTAAGACACTCGTTCTGTAAATGGCGTCCTTACTATTTTAAGTTCCTGGTAACTTCTCCTCTTAGTTCGATCTTCATTGTAGTACCGTGTTAGCTTGAACACCGCTTCGTGCTTGAGCTTTGTTATTTGATGCAGTGATAATTACTCATATTAAAATTCAAAAAAATAATTACTTGTATTAGACATCCAGGATCTCTCATGTTCTAGCTCAGTGCTTCACTGCAATAGAAAGAATAAAAAATTGGTGCTAGGGATTGTATTATGATCTAATATTCATGAGGTCTCGTACAACACTGCCATGAAATAAATATTCGGAATTGAGATATCTCTGCTCCTATAAAAATCTGAGTTGGTGATGATGGTGTGCCTGCCATCTTTCATTTACAGCCATCCGATTTGCATCCAACGCGTCTGAGACAAACTATGGCAATTTTACAAATAACCCCCTGCCACTCCAGTTCAGTGTTTAGCCCATCTCTACCCCACCTCATCTAGCGCCATCTCAGGAAAGAAAGAAGGATCTGGACAGGTCGGTGCCGTCGTTCGTTCGCCCCCAGGCTCCATTGCCGACCACTACCACAAACCCCTCCTCGCCGTCTCCACCACCCCCTTCCCTGTCTCCCTGACTTCGACCTGGGTAAGTATGCTGCCGATTAGGACTGGACACGAGCCAAGCCGAATTCAGACAGCCATGTTAGCTCGCTCGGAAGCAGCCAGCTCGGCTCGGCTGGGTGATGCCAACGAGCTGCATATGGGTGGCTCAGCTCGTTCTGCACTGGCTCTGTTTAGCCTGAGCGGCTCGTGAGTGGATGGACAAGGGAGGTGCATGCTGTGGATGTGCTGTGAGTGATGGTGGTCACCGCCGGCCACCAGGGCGTGCCAGAGCAAGTGGCGGTGCGGCGTTGAGGCGGAGGGCACGCACCTGCCGACGTTGGTGAGGACGCAACACAAGCAGAGAAGAACATGGGTGGGCAACGCGTGAGCATCTGCGTGCGTGTGTGCACTCGGCGACGAAAGCATGCCTGTGTGCGTGCGGCGGGGACGGATTATGGATGCGTTGGGAAGAAGAAGAGAATGTAAGAGGGAGGGAGGTGTGAGCAACAGCTGTGTGCGGCGGCGGGGGGGATGGATGCATCGCGTGGGTCAGTGGGTACATGCTGCTCGTCTAGGTCACCAAATAAGGATAGCTTCGTATTGGGCTTGGGCTGCTCTTGTAGCCTATACATTTCGCTGCTAATTTTAAAAAAAATACTGGGCTGGAAACGAGCCACAGCCCCAACATTTCACCACCGGAGTCGTTCGAGCCCCAACGTTTCACTGCCTCCCCTGTATTCTTGCTTCAGCAGCCCCAACTGCGACCACAACGTCTGTGTCCTCCCCTGTCTCCTCCAACACCAACCCCCACAAGTACGTTGGTGGCTACGCCCTGCTCATCCTCGGCGGCGCAGCCACCACCTACTATTATTTCCCCCTTCCCGGCAACGCAATCCATGTTGATCACACTCTCATAGATGGAACAGAGTGTGGGGAGGTGAGATGCACTGCCCTTCGCCTTCTGATCTGACAAGGACCAATGTATGGGTATTGATGAAGAAGAAAATCTTCTTCTGCAGTTGCAGATATGTAATGGTAACATATGGTAGAAATGCCTATTCTGTAGTTGCTCGGCCCGACTCAGCTCGGCACGGCAAGGATCTAATTATAGGTTCGTCCTATTTTTTTACTTGATTGTTGCATAAGAAATGCCAGAAGGAAGATGGGACATGAACTTGGCTCTTGAGCTCAAATAATATCAATAAAATTTAAAGAAATCTTTTGGAAACAAACATGTAGAACTATTTGTGCAACATTTCATGAAAAAATAACATTAATGTTGGACTAGAAAAATAAACAAATCGTTAAAAAACTATTTTAAAAGCTTTTTTTTTTGGCAAAGCACCACAAGTGTTTTTTCTTCATGAAGTTTTGCATGCAGCTTGAACACTGGAACGTGTTTGTTTGCAAGAATAGGTTTGTTATGTTTGCTATTCTGTCTGCATTTACTCTTCACCCGGATGCTTGTGAGCTCAAAAGCAGAATGAATATATCCAAAGAAACATATTGATATTTGTTACACATGAGATGACCACCACATAAGTTGTGAAATAAACTACTCTAGATCAATGCATTTTGGTTAGCCGTGCAACGCACGGGCATCTTACTAGTAACTATAGGCATGGCAAATTATGTTGTCGCGGGGATGGCAATTTCCTTTAGCAACCATGGCAATTCCTGGCAAAAACTGAAATCGCCATCCTCATGAAAACATAATTTGCCATCTCGGGCGTTCGATTTGCCATGCTAAAAAAGTCTGACGTTCGAAATCCTAAATATTTACTTACCTTTCCTATCCTCGAACTTACAGGGACCGAAATTGGTGGCCCATATGTCTGCTTAGAGCTTGGGCATTCTGCTGTAGAACTGATGTGGCCATGGATCAACTCAATACTATGCCTGTGAAATTATCACAGTGGAAGAACTTAAGTGACAGACATCAGTTCTCAGTTCTTGAGTTGAGCTGGAATATCTGCGCTACTTATTCACAGTGCTTGTACAGGGGCTGCCTGCGAGCATAATTATGTCTCACTAGCTGAATTGAGCTATATGCTTCTTCTGCAATCATTCACCTTTATTATCCAATAATACCATTCTCTAGCTGTCCGGCAACATAAAATGTATCCTGTCAGCTTTCTTTCTGCCGAGCATATCCATTTTGTAGTGTTGCCCGTTACATATTTGGGATTATGTTTTCAGTTTGGGGTATCCTTAAGAGGACAACACTTGCACATTGTTGACAAAAGCTCATTGCTCGCGAGCTTAACTAGCGCTGGGTAGTTTGACTTATTAACCTCGTAGCTTACTTTTTTATTTACGGGAGTAAAACTTGTACAGATTTGCTATTTCTCAGATGCCTGAGATTTTTCCTCGCACCAGAGTTGTTTTTCGGTGGGGCGGAGCTTGGATGGCCGGGGCAGCGGCCAGCACGGTGGGAGGGCGAGGCGGTGCTAGCCGCCAGCCGCGGGGGCGGAGGCAGGCGGTTAGGCCTGGGCAGACTGGCAGCTGTGAATCTGTTTTGAATGATGCAGTTTTTTGAGTGACTCATGCGTAGGCGATCTTAAAATTGTACGTATTACTCAATCACGAGGTTCTTACAATGGTCTGACACCACTTCAAGGATTCTCGGAGGACCCGAGCCAATCCATGTAACCGTTTTACCCTCTACTTTAGCTAAACCTGATCATTGGTCGGACCGGGTTTGGCAAAGCCCAAAGAAAAAATGCCAAGCCCGAACCTGGCCTGGCCTGACCCGAAGTACATGAACAGTGGCATCTTTTAATTAAATTGATCATATTCAAGATATTATATTAATTTATTATACATATATAAAATATGTTTATATGTGCATTTCAGGCTTTATTCGGGCTTTCGGGCTGGGCTTCGAGTGAGAAAACGGAGCCTAAGCCCGACCTGAATGTCGGGCTTCAGGTCGGGTCTCTGGGCCGGGTTATCCATGAACATGTTTATTTTGACTACGAATTACATTGGTGAATCGATCCCCGCACTTGCAGACTCGCTACTAACTCTGATTATACCTGCTGACCATGTCAGCTAACCGGATGTTTTGTTTAGAATTTGGCTAATTCTGTAGATATGTGATTACCGCGAGTAGGCCACTGCTATGGTGCAGCCCTCCATTTGCTTTTTTCTGTTAGGAATTGGCACTACTCGAATTTTGTTGTATTTCTATAGAGAATGCATTTTCGGTTTTTCTTTCACTTATGAATCATTTGTGTTTCACTTCTTGATGGAAGCAGGCATCCCCACGAGCACTCCGATGATGCCAAGAACGATGTTGGTGGTGTGATTAAAGAAGATTCTACATGAGATGCACTTGGACAGGTAGGAGATGTTGGCAAAGGGAAGGTGGCGCGTCGTATCATGGTAGAATCCAAGCAAATCTTCGTAATAATTTAATGAGAGGGGCCATCATAGGAGGGAAGACTATATGTAGTTCCAACGTAACAATTATGTAGTCACCGGGTTGTAGTTACCAACATGGTTATTTTCATAGTTACCAAGTTCTATATGTTATAAAAACATGATTATTGTATATCGACTTACCCATTATTTGGTTACAAAAATCGTTGAAAACATTCCTCGGCAACTATTGTGTAAATAGCATGATAATGTAGGATCTCGGACCCGATAATTTAGATACAAACACCATGATAATTCTGACCCTTGAGAAAAAGTTGTTGAAAACGCACCGCCGATAACTTAGAAGTAATAGCATGGTAATTTGGGTACAAACACCAGATAACTTTGACCCGTGGAAAAAATTATTGAAATTAAAACAAACCACCGATAACTTCTAAGTAATAGCATGGTAATATACGCCCTCGGACCTGATAACTCAGGTACAAACACTACAATAATTTTAATTCGGAGTAAAAGATATTAAATACATACAACCAATAGCTTTCGTGTAAATAGTATGATAATATAGGCTTCCGGACCTGATAACTTAGATACAAACACCACAATAACTTTGCTTCGTGGAATTTTTTTTGTTGAAAACATACTCTATAAATAACATGGTAACACAGGCATCTGGACCTGATAACTTATGTACAAACACCACCATAACTTTTGACCCGTGAAAAAATGTTATTGAAAACATACTCTAAATAACATGGTAACACAGGCTTCCGGACCTGATAACTTATGTACAAATACGACGATAATTTTGACCCATGAAAAAAGTTGTTGAAAATATACGCATAACTAAGTTGATAACTTACTTAGTCCAGATGTGATAAC